ATTTCTGGCACCAGGTACCTGAAGTTCCTTTTCTTTTTGAATAATTCATTATTTAAATACTGCAATGCATATCCCATGCAGCCCTGCATAGTGTATCGGGGGCAAGGGAGAAGTAAGAGATTAATTTCCCATATATTTCAACACTAAACACATTCAAGCCTCCTTTATGTTGATTTGGTGTCATTGGATTGCAGTTGCTAACAATGTTACAGTTTTAGTGAGTCACCCCAGGGACCAATTTATGGAAATTAAATAGGATCTTCTGCAGGACATTAATAAGGTCGAGATCTAACTTTTATAGTAGTCGACTGAGTTATTTGCTTTAAGAAAAAATGGCAAAACATTCAGGAAGATGTTTTCCGTGAGACTGATGATTATTTGCAGTAAATGTGGCTTCAATTAATGCTTCCCCATTCTTGGCTGTGAATGCTTTATGACAAAATGTATGAGCAGAGCATGGAAAGTGGTGCCCTACAGATGACTTTTGTCCCTGCAATGCTAAGCATAGGGACGCTGTAAAGCCAGTCATCGATCGAGACTCAATGCCATATCCCTTCCTCTAGGAGGGTTTCTTAGGGTCCCTGTCACATTGGTACAAACTCCCATAGGAAGCGTTCTTTGTGCTTTCAGTAACTGCTTGTCAAGGCATTTGTCCCGCTGCCGAACAGTGAACTCCCTTTCATCTCTGAATAGGTGGAGCCTTGTGCAGTGCCTGGCACAAAAGCACTTCACATCTGTTTGTTTAATAAATGAATGAATTTGTTGGTTGCAAGTTAATGGAAACCCAAGCCAAATAGCTTAAGTTTGAAGGGGAAAGTATTATAAAGATACTAGAGTCTCTCATTGAACACACAGTCATGGTGTGATCTGGGTAGGACCCAGGGTTCCAGAACCATCTGGAAGCTCCTATCTCTGGCCTCTGCCTCTCTCCGTGACAGCTGCCACCTGCACCAGCATTGATTGATGTGTCCATCTCCCAGCCTCTGCACCACCTCTTGCTCAGTTCCAGGACCAAGGTTTTCCAGGGCAGACCCTCATTGCCTTACGTGGGCCAGGGGCTCACCCTGGGGCCAGTCAGCTGACACCCAACATTGAGGGTCTCTAGATTGTCTTAGTCAACTCAGGCTCCATGGCAGAACACTGTAGACTGGGTGGCTTAAAGAACAGAACTTTCTCACAGTTTTGGAGGATGGAGGTCTGAGATAAGGGTGCCAGCAGCATTGGGTTCCCACGAGGCCTCTCTTCCTGGGTTGTGATTGGCCACCTCCTCACTGTGTCCTCATGTGGCCTTTCTTCTGTGCTTACAATGAGGGGTGGGGAAGAGGAGATCCCTGTTCATCTTCTCATAAGGCCACTAATCCTATCATGAGGGCCCCACCCTCCTGACCCAATTTAACCTTAATTTCCTCCCAAAGGCCCCATCTCCAAATACCATCACATTGGGGGTTAGGGCTTCGACATATGAATTTTGGGAATACTCAACTAGTCACCATAACAAGGATAGGCTCTGACTGGCTCTATTTGAACCAGTCAATGAGGTCAGAGACAAGGTGTTCTTGTAAGACAGGCCAGCTCCCATGGGGATAGTGTGGGTGGGTTTGGGGTGGAGGGGGGAATCCTTTCCCAGGAGGACAGAGCTCTGGGCAAACCAAAAAGTGTTTGGGGTCCTTGGGCAATCTGTGTGAATGTGGTGGCACAGCACTGCCCGATGCTGCCCCTCTTTTGTGACTGCAGATGTGACTGACTTCCTGGCCTTTGGGTGGGAACCAGCTCGATTTGTGCTTGTGTCTGGCAAATATATAATATATATATATTTACATTTGACATTAGTATAGTTTTTAAAAAATACATAATTTGTAAAATAGTTTCATATACACTAACCGCCTAACACAATGTTCGCAGCATCCTGCTCGGGGAGATGCTAGCTAAATGTCACGCTTGAGGAAATCAAGGCCGGCTACCTGCCCCAGTTCCGGGGCCCCTCTGCATGGCAGAGGGGCCCTGGAAACAGTGTCCTATGATGGCCACTTCAGTTCCTGTTTCATCTTCCTTCTTTACTATTAAAATGACGTGTCTGGCAATTTACCGTGTTTAAAGTCTTTGCCTTTGGGGGTGACAACTGCTGGTGTCTGTCAGGCGGGTGGCCAGTGCCAGGCTCTGTCCTGAGCACTTTGCCAGTGCGAGCCGCTTCAGTCTTCACAGCAGTGCATTGAAGAAGGCACCATCGTTGTTACTATTAAACAGATGGGGAAACTGAGGCATGGGTAGGTTTGCAGCTTGCCTGAGGTTGAGGGGCTGGCTCTGTAAGCCCCAGGGGGAACTGAGGTCTTGTTACTTAGAGATTGTGCTTTAAGACAGCACAGTGACGGGACCCTGGTGACCATGGCCCTGCTGGGCATGAGGAGTGACAGTTCTGAGATCGGATGGAAAGATGTGAGTCCCCTTCTGCCTCAGTGGCCCAGACAGGAAGGGCCTCCGTCTGCAGAGACCCCTCTGTGCCCTTCCTGGGGAGGGCTCGCGCTGGGGGGGTGGAGCTGCTCTCTGCTGAGGTGTGTCTGCACGTGCTCTGAATTGACACACTCTGGAATCCAGGGGTGGAAACTGCAGCCAGAGGGGAGGGGGCTTGTCCACAATCACCTGCTAGTTTGGGGGCCTAGTTGCAAGCCCATCTCTTAGTGTCCCTCCTGTGCTCGTTCTAGCCCTCTGACCTCCCCACCCCGCTCCCCTCCCTCTGAACCCCCATCTCCTCCTCCGTGTCATGAGGGATGAGACCCGACAACACCAAAGCTTCTGTCCAGCTCTCTTGGCCAAGAATTCTGCAGATTTGCTCAAGGCCACACTACTGCTTTTTCTTGTGGCCATACTGGCCAGTTAAAGTCCAGCCACCAGCCGTGGTCCAGGGAGAGAGAAAAGTCACCCGCAGCTTTGGTGATCGTAGGAATCTCCGCAGACTAATCCCTGCAGACCGTGACAAGTGCTCATGGCAGTCGGTCCACCCTCAGCAAGCCTCGCTTCGCTGGTCTCAGAGCGGCCGACGGGCAGCCTGGCGGCCTCTGCGTTGCCCGGGGCCCTTCAGAGAGCTGTCACCGTGGAAGACGGGACTTCACTCTTGTCGGAGGCTCTGTAGGGTTTGCACAGGAACAGCTGCCGGTGGGAGCTGATTCAAGTGGCCGCTTTGGTGCCACAGGGAAGGGCCTTCTCTGCCCCCAAACAGGCAAGCAGATTCCCTCTTTCCTCGATGTCCTTGTTTAATTTGGATGTTTTTATTGCTAAAGTTTCTTCCCTGGCTGTCTTTATCACGGAGCTTCCAAACCCAAGCTGGCCTCATGGTGTCACTCACTGGGAAGTTCCTGGCGTGGCTCTGGGGTCTGCATCGACCGTGGCTGCCATCCGTCGGGTCTTGACATTCTCATCGACACCCTGAGAGAACCGCGGGCAGAACTGGGCAGCAGCATTCCGTGTAAGAGACAGTGAGCTCCACTTCACTGTGTGACCTTGGGCCACCATTTAGTCCCTGTGGGTCTGTTGTCTTCACGCTCAAAGAAGCACATTGACCTGATGAGATCTAAGGTGTTTCGATCTCCTCTTTCATTTTAGTTCTCGGCTTCAACAAATGTTTCCATTGTCTCCGAAGGTAGAAGTTCAGCATTGCACAGCCCGAGCTGTAGCCCCCATGAGTGGGATTTGCAAAGCTTCCACCAACAGCAGGAAGGAGCGTGGTTCTTGTTAGGACTGCACCTCCGTGTTCAGGAAAATTATGGGGAGGCCCTTCGTCATTTAGCCTCCCCGTGGCTTTTAATGTGGGGCAGGTGAATTAATTATTCAAGGGGGTATCGCTGCCAAAAACCAAGAGCAAGTCACCTGTGGAGAAGAGCCCCGTGTGTGGACTTGGGAGACGGCCAAGGTACTGTCCTTGTCATCTGCTTCCTCCTGGTGCACACCGTTGATGCAAGGCCTGCCGTTCACCTCGAAATTACTAGGTTCACAGAAATGGCACCAAAACATAAAAAGGTGAGGAATATATCATGGATCTGCATTTCTAAATGATTCAAGATTCAGTCCAATAATTATTAACATCATGTAAAGCTCCACTATATTATATGTGGTGAGAATACACCATGCAAAATAATTTGGGCAGAAAATGCGCAACTGCGCTTTGAATGACGCCTACCACGACTCTGCTACATGCTGTCCTTTTCTCACTGTTTTGCCAGCCAGATCCTAACAATAACCCCGTAAGTGGCAGGTAGGGGATTTTCATTCCCATTCTCCTCATGGGGAAACGGAGGCCCAGGGTGGTGAGGGGACTTCCCACGGTTGATGCAGGACCAGAGCCACCACACAAGCCAGTGCACGTTCCCCACCTCAGCGGGACACACTGTTCTTCTCATGCTCACTTGCAGCCATCGCTGCTTCTGTGCCGGGAGTTCTCGTTTTCGTTTGAATGTGTTTCTTCTCCTCTGCCCAGCTGAGGACACTCTTCGTGTTGGCAGGCAGTCTGCGCTCGGTCCTTTCACGCTGGCCAGTAAAAGCAGGAATTCTAAAAGGCAACAATTATTCCTCCTGGTTCCTTTGGACAGAGCCCTGTAAATAATTTATTTGGATTTGAGGGGCTAGAGCCTGAAAAACATATCGAACCTCTCAGTAATCAAGGCGAATTCTGTGTTTAAAACTTGAACACAATGGGAAAGAGAAAGGTTTCTTTGAAATCAGAGAAGATGTCAAGGGACCCGAGAACTCAGGCGTGAGGCTGGAGACGGACAGACGGCAGCAAGGAGTTTGTTTGTTTCTGGTTTGTTTTTTTAACGGCATGTAAGGGTCATCTGTGAGGTTTCCACATCCATATCCTTCACCATTGCAACTGGGATTTTGGAACAACTAGCTCTGGAGTTGGAAAACCCTGGGACAGGTCCGAGCTGGGGCACTTCCCAAGTCCCTCCTGCTGCACTCAATACCTGGGTTAAACAAAGAAAATTGTGTTTGCCCGGCTCCCCAGCTGAAGTCACAAGATTCTGAGTATCATGCAGCACTCTGGAATTCCTACAAAAACTCTTCAGAAGGGGTACGCTGCCCGCTACGCGGAAACGGCCGTGCATCGGACTTTTCAGATAAAAACGTTTAGTACAGAGTTGAAAAACCATGTGATGGTCATGGATTTTGTGAAGAGTAACTGGTTTCCCTCCCAGAGAAGAGCCAAAGTTTGCATCATCCGTATGTGTCAAGGCTTGAAGACGGCTGAGCAGACGGCCAGCAGATATGAGGTACGCTGAGCCTGGGTGGGCGCGGGGGACGCACGGGTGACTCAGAGAGAGTGGGACCTGCTGCTCTTCAGACAGACAGCCGGGTGTTTTCTCTGGTCTAATAAATTAATCACATCTGCATGTAGACTTTCCCAAGGGATTTGGAAAAGACTTTTTCATTTCTTAACTGATTTCAGTTTTTGAAATACGGGGGAAGGGGAAGCATATCAGATGAATGTAATTTACACAGGACTCATGTCTGCCTTTACAAACATTGAATGGTGCTCCAAAGACTACCAAGTTGGGTAATTTGTATCCACATGTAGAAACTGCAGTGTTTTTCTGTGAATTAAATATTCTTAGCTCTGTAAGTTCGCAATCATCTGTCTTTAAAAGCAAATTCCCATTTGTTTCCTGATGTGCTGTGCGGGAGAATGTGTGTGGCTCGCCTCGATCGAGCTAAAATAGAAGCATTCAAGTTAGGCCGGTAAGAACAGTCTTTTGGTTTTTGAGAGTGAGCTCCAATTTTTAAGCAGAGACAACTCTGTGAAAAAAAGAAGAACTTTGGAGATTTAAAATGTTTAAGTGAGATAAACACACTGCTCTGAAATATATTTGTATTCTGCAACTCGTATCAGCCGCAAGCAGTTATCTTTTCAGAAAGTAAACATGCATGAAATCCCATCAGCTCTTTATTGTACCTGGAATAAATTATGAACGACATTGTAATCGACTCCCATATAGCTCACTTACCCTTCTCTTTTGATAAATGTAACATGCACACTGCTAATGCTTTATGAAAAGGTAACCTTTCTGAATATTGATGCTGTTATTAGGAAAACCTTCCCACGAATGCCGGCAAATCGCCAGGTCTTTGTTCCCCAGGCTGGGCAGAAGGAAACCAGCACAATGTGGAAGGAACAGGTTTTGCAGGGTCCAAAGCTGGTTTTTCAGTTCCAGCCCTGGGAGTATGAATTTCCATGTTCACAGCAGAGATGTAAAGGCCTCAGAAATGATGGTGTTAATTAAATTCAGTAATAGTTGTTCATTACTTCATTGTCCAATCTACCAGAGCAAAAGGTGTGCAATTAGAATATAATTGAGAGAAATCAGAGATGTTATTATTCATAAGTAATTAATCGGATGGGGACAGAATTTTATCATTGTATAATTTTCACTGAGGTTATTTTCCAGTTCTCCAGAGAGAGAAAAACTTGTTGAAATATATTATCACACATTTTACAAAAGTGTTCATGGCTCCATTTAAAACCCTACGTAGCAAACAGCGGCTCTTGTGTCCCCGCTTTTTTCATGCATAAAACGTCATTTATTCCTATAGCCACACTGACGATGACAATGAGAAAAAGTGCATCTTCGAAGGAGATTATAAAAAACTTCAAATATACTGGCAGTCACAGCTACCTTTTTGTATGTGTGGCACAATCCCCTACTGCTATTTAGTGCCAACGATTGGGCCACCAAGGTTAAAATAATTGCCAGAAACCGCCACCCCCCTTCCCCAAGCAACCAATCCGATGGGCTGGTTGGGCCTCACTGTGTCCAGGACTCCAGAAGTGGCCCAGGCAGGGCACGCTTCCTCGGCTCACCGGCAGGCCAAGTCTGCCAACCACTGCATGGGTTCTGCCCCTCCTATCCCTCTTGACTTACAATAGCAAACATTTCATAATTTAAAATATTCCACATCCATTGAACCATGCTTCATATTGTTCCCACTAGAGCATGTCAGCACCATTAGATTAGGAAACCTAGAAAGAAGGAAACTTCTTGCTCAATTTCCCCAGCAGCACCGGAGAGCGAGCCCAGTTAGCAGCCTCTGGGTCTTGCTATTGGACTCAGCTCTGTGATTCTTTCTCTTCCATCAACCCCAAGGCCATCAGTTCCCCTGCCCTGGGCTCTGACCATAAAGTATCCAATGAGGTGACAAATGAGCAAGCTCACTGGGATGAACTCTCAGTGCACAAAGGTGCTGGATTAAAGAAACCGGTGGAGTCCCCAATAAAAGTGAATTTTGGAGATTTTGTTTCTGTAAAAACCTTATGGATTTCAAGTTCTTCCCACAAGGACCAGTAAATATGCTTGAGCTGAGTGTAAGTTTTATAGACTGGGATTTTTCTAAAACCATTGACTTAGTCCTGAGCTGTGTTAACGCTTGGAGAAGCCACCTCTCACCAGGGATAAGCAGTGACCTGGTGTAACTCTAGTCTGGGGAGGCTCCAGCCATACTCATACCCTTACTTAAACTGCCTTTTCATGTGAACAACGAGTGGAACCTGCCGTGCTGACAAGTAACTGGGCTTGGAAGCAGATGGCAGTGCGGATGCTGAAGATCCCTGGGTTCGTGTTTGCAAAGCCTCGATCCTTACTGGCTCTAAGATGCCCAAAACCGTTAGAAACACAGTGTGTTAAGGGGATGTCTCCCCCTGCACATGTTTTTGATAAACTTCAGACAGCAACATAGCCATAATTGGGCAATGAAATTGGCCGTGTTTGGGCTCTGCCTCCAGTCCACATCCTGAGCACGGACACATCCTGAGGCTCCCCACGTGGCTGAGCTCGGGCGGTTTCACCGACTTTTGGAAGGGAAGCCACGTGGAGTTCGGCGATGGGCTTGTGTCTCCCCGAGTTTGCATGCGACTAGGCATCTCCTAATTGATTGTCGAGACCTTTCTGATGACAGGCGCAGGCTGAGGGGCACGAGCTGGGGCTCGCCCATCTGTCTTCCGATAGGTGACAGTTTCTAACACATGTAATCATTAGAAGAGTCAGGAAAGGTTTTTGTGTTTGGAAATCACTATTTGGCCGTGCCTCTCAATGTTTTCAAAACCTCCATCATCATTTCCATCTCCACTTCCTGCTCATTTAATTTTATTAAAAGGGGATTTAGCCAGTAGTGCTCAGTTCTGGTGGGATATAAGAATCATGGTGAACTTTTAAAAAACTGTCTATGCCTGTGCCCCGGCCAAGGCTATTGTGACTCAGTGGGCCCAGAGCAGCCCAGAGGCAACAACAACGAACAACAAAGACACTTACCAAGTGACTACTTTCACCTCCCACTTCTCTCCTCCTCGTGTCCGTGCTTTCCTCCGCCTGTTCCAGCTGTTCTAAGGCCCTTGTCTGCTTGTTTCATCATCATCTCTGTTATTTCTGCACCTGTTTCTACTGACTGGTTTTCTTCCTGATTATGGGTCATATTTTCTTCTTTACATACCAAGTTGTTTTTAAATTGAATTTTGGATAGTGTGGATTTTACATTGTTGGGTGCTTGATTTTGTTGTTAAGTTACTTGAAAACAGCTTGATCCTTTTGAGGCTCATGTTTAAGACGTGTAGGGGCAGGTCTGAATATCCCTGGGGATGTTTGGTAATGCCTGGAGACAGTGTGATTGTGACAACTTGGGAAAAGATGCTGTCGGCATCTAGCAGGTAGAGGCCAGAGATGCTGCTAATCTCCTACAATGCACGGGACAGTGCCGCAAGCCCCAACAAAGAATTGTCTAGCCCAAAATGTGCGTGGTGTTGAGGCTGAGAAACCCTGATGTAGGGCTAATTTAGCACACTATTAAGACATGGGCCTTCTGAGGACTCTACCTGATGTCTCAGGTGTGACAAGATCTTTGCACTCAGGCTGGTGAGAACGTGAACTGCTTCCAGCTCTGTGTGAGGTCCTGGAATTGTCAGACCTACCACTTTCTGGTGGTTCTTTTCTTGGTTTCAGGTAGTTTTCTCCCAAGCAGGTGCAGATTAGTATTCAGCCAAAGGCTTGAGGGGTCCCCTGCAGGTTACTGGAACATTCTTTCCTTGCAGTTCCCCATTCTTCACAAATTCCAGCTGCGGTGGCCTCTCTGAATTCTGCATCTGCCCCCTCTGCCCAATGAGACCCCAGGCTCTGTCAAGTTTCCCCTCCCTGAGCTGTGACCTGGACACCGCCTCCAGGTGGGGACAATGGTCGGGCTCACCTCTCTCATTCCCCCCTCTCAGGGGTCGCGGTTCTGCGTTCCCGCACTGCTGCTGTGCACTGTCTGGAGGCTGTTTCAGAGCTCGTGTCTGGTTACTCCATCGTGGCTGGACGTAGGCCTCCTGGGGGGGGTTTTGATGTCCCCCCAGGGTTGAAACACTCCGCTCTGGGCTTTGATGAACGTTTTCAAGTGGCTGGAGTGCACCCATAGGTCTTGTAAAATAAAAGCCCTAAAGTTTTAAGTGTTTGGGCTTTGGGATAACTTGATTCTGGGAATAAAGAGGTCACTGAAACCAAACACAAGGCAAGACAAACATTCCCTTTCTTCTCCCAGTTATCAAAAGGTGCAAAACCATTTTACCTCTTTCTAACCAAGCTGAAGAGCTGTAGCCAGATCAAAGCCTTTGGAGTCTCACTTTTCCTCCCGAAGTCCTGGGCTGGGAACGAAATTTTGCTGGGAGGGTCCAGCTGCAGTGAAGGCGCCAGACCTGCAGGCCGAGGAGGGCTGAGAAAAGGCTGTTTCACGAAAGACGACAAATATTTCAATTAGCTCCGCACTCCGTGCACAGGCTGGGAGCCCCTGCCTCGTCCCCGGGGCCTTGCCTGCTCTCTGGGTGTGAGCTTGGTGCCTCTCCTGGAAGCCTCAGCAGCTCAGCCTCGGGTGGCCATGGCCAGTGGCCTCCAAACGCAGGGAGGGGAAGCCCAAGAAGTGCAGGGGAAATGGGACGGTCGTACCTGAGTCCCAATGCCGCCCACTCGCCGTATTCTTCCAGCCCCTCCCTGCCCCTGCCATCGGGAGGCTGGCCGTCAGAGGCAGGGTCCTGCAGAGGTGTGACAGGTCAGAGGCCTGAAATCAGTTTCGCTGCATCAGGAGGCACCTCTGGCGATTGAGGTTCCCAGTCTAACTGCACGGTGCAATTTTATTGCAGGCGAAGCGCGAGCTGACCCAGGGCATTGCAGCCAAGGCTCGCGAGATCTATCCGACATCATTTTGGCCCATTTCCACAGGGGAATTGGGCACTGGCCGGGAGTCTATGTCTGTATTT